TAATCCGCCGAGGCCACAGGCCCAGGCGTCTTGGGGGTTAGCTCAGGTTCCCTCCACCTAATCCTCCTCGCTGCGATCCAAATGTTTGGGGACACCCGCTTTTTGCGTTCGTTTGCCCCCTCATTTTACCTGATTTGTCGGCCTCCCCCCCCCCTCCCAGGCCTCCCGCTCCCCCCTCTCCCCCCCCTCCCCCCTCCCCCCCCTCCCCCCCCCCCCCCCCCCCCCCCCCCCCCCCCCCCCCTCCCCCCCTCCCCTACCCATTCCTCGCACTTCGTATCAACAACCGGGTTTGACAGGCCGCCCTAGCATAAAAAAACAACGACTGCCCCCTCACCCTGCCGCTACACAGCCGAGGCGGGCGGCGTAGCGTTAAAATTAATTGTTAAGGCCCCTACATTACCTTCATCATCAGCAACTTGCTAGATGACCCTTCAGTCGAGTAGTGGCAGCGCTCTCACCTGGCCGGCTCGGCTTGGCGGTTAGGATTCCTTGTCAGAATTGCCGGCTCCTCTCCGGATTCTAAACGTAATTAATTTCAACATACAGGTTGAATGAAGATGGTGATGGTGGCGATGAACGATACACGACGAATGGTGAGTTGGGGATGACGAACCATAAATGATGAGTGATGACGACGAAGATGGTGATGATGATGAAGATGTGGCTGAAGATGGCTCTGAATGTGAACGATGGTGAAGGTATGTTTATGTTTGTGCTGCTACTTACTACTACGACGACGATTGCTGCGGCCGTTGCTACTGCAGCCGCCACCTGCCGCAACAGCAACAACAACCGCTACAAGCAAGGCCACCATCAACCGCCACCACACGAAGCTCCCCGCAACTCCAGAACATCCGGGGGCAACGGGTTGGCACGGTCATGGAGTTTGGGGTTGAAGGGTTTAAGGTTCAGGGGTTTAGGGTGTACCGTGCTAGATTATGGGGTGTTACGACTTGTTGGGCTTTGGGGCTGAGGGCTTGGAGAATAGGCTTCCAACCTCCGCACAATCAGCCAAGGTGCACCATGACGCTGCCCGGCCCGGCATTGTTCTCGTCAACGTGGAGGCGGGCATTGTAGTTGCGGTTGAGCTGGATCTTGGTCGGCTGTCTCTAAGTTTTTTTCGGCTCAGCTCCAGCATTCGGCAATCTTCATCGGGCTTTCTTGTGTGCATACTGACCAGGGGCCTACCTCCCTTGACCGGATGTTGATTTACACTTTGACGAGTCTGCAAGCTCAGGACCTTTCAAAGGCGTTCTGCATAAAACCGTAAGCGCCCCGGCATCTAACACGCACCTGTAGGGGGCCTCTACGCGAACCGGCTTAGAGAGCCCCGATGTCGAAGCCAAGATAACTACTTCCAGATGGGTGGTTGTCAAAATTATGCTCCCTTTTTGGGTACCCCCAATAATAGGTGCCATATTATAATAAGCACCACAGAAAGGGACCCTAATTTTGACAACCACCCATATGAGACTGCACAACGTCTTGGCTCATCCATTGGCATTGCTTGGTCTTCCTGGATATGGGAGTTTCCGAACATAGGGGTACCTTATTTTGGGGTCCTTATAATAAGGATCCTACTATTCAGGGTACCATATTAGGGTCCCCTATTTTCGGAAACTCCCACATGGGGATCAGCCCGTGCAGGTTTCCTGAAGACTCAAGCCCTAAACACGACAGAAAACGAGAGATGCAAATATGGACCTCAAGATACGAAGTTTTCAGAAACCCTCATTTGAGCCCCGTGCCGTGGAGTACTTCAACTCTGGGTCCTCATGTGTCGCGACAAACAGAAGTTAATTCCGAATCTTATGGGTTTTATAGCTTCAAGCTTAGGTTTACGGATTAAAGTTTACTAACGACTCCGGGTATTGAACAGAGAAGTAAATGAAGAACAAAACACGACGCTATGAGTGGCCGGGGCACGCCCGTGATCGTCTTCGGGAAGAGGACCAGCAGCTTCGTGAGGTTCCTATAGACGTTTAGGATTTATTGTAGGCTTTACGGTTTAGGGGGTTCAGGGACATCCGAACCAAAACGGAGTGGCTCCCAGAGAGCCCAATACCCCTTAATTGAGGAATATGGCTTAAATTATATAGGGGTTCATATTATATGATTTAAGCCACATTCCTTAATTAAGGGGTATTGGGCTCTCTGGGAAAGCGGACTTAAGGGGAATTGCTAAGGGACCTGTGTATGGCCTTACAAGATAGAGGGTCTTGCTACGGAGCTGTTTTTGGGCTTCTTGAAGGTTATGTAAGAGGGGTGCAAGGCTTTCTTGAGGGCTTCTGTGCTTCTGTCAGGGGTGACTACGCGAATAGAGTGGCTTTCTGAGGGTGAGGAGATATGGGAGTTTCCGAAAATAGGGGTACCTTATTCTGGGGACCTTATAACAAGGATCCTACTATTTAGGGTACTATATTGGGGTCCCGTATTTTCGGAAACTCCCCTATTATGAGAGACTCTTGGGAGCTTCGGGTCGTGTGAAGGAACGGAAATTAAGTTGCCAAACTGGCTTACAGTACATCATACGTTGATTAAGTTCCTTAAGAAGCACAGAAGCCAATGGGCTGAGGGGCTCTGGCATGTGTGAGGTCTCGGTAGCTTCATGGACTTCTAAACCTCCATGTTGTCGTTATTCCGTTACTGTTATGATTCATGATTTACTATCAATATTATTAATATTTTCCATTATCATGGGTATGTGTTTTTGTTAGCATTGTACTCTCATCGGATTTCATACGGTTGCAGAGTGGGTTTAGGGTCAGGCTTGAAGCTTCAGAGTTCAAGGTCTGTCTAGCATTCAGCACACAAGCTCTAGGGTTCAGGATTTGCTCCTTGAAGTGGTCGTAAGGAATTGTGTAATGCTTGGTGTATCGTGGTGTCAAGGAATTGAGGTAGAATCTGTAGCCAATCTTTGAAGTGTAACGGGGTCCTAAGCCCCGAACAATAGCCCAAACTGCTTAAACCCAAGCCGCGCACCCAGATTCCTGGACGAGCAAAATTGGAAAAAACATAATCATCAGTAGTAGCAGTAGACTTTATAACTACATTAAAGATCCCTCTGTTTCGAAGGAGTATTCCAGAGTTGACCGGGCACCGGCAGCACTTGCGCCAAACTGGAGAGCAGGATCTCCTTAAGTTGCCACGAGATCAAGGGCGGAGAGATATGGGGGTTTCCGAAAATAGGGGACCCTTGTATAGTACCCTAAGTAGTAGGATCCTTGTTATAAGGACCCCTACATGAGGTACCCCTATTTTCGGAAACTCCCATATGCCCAGAACCCTAAAATTCTGATCCTGTACTGTAAACGAACCATGAAACCCTCAAAAGGATGGTGCTGAAATGGACTTAGGACTAAGGAAAGGGCCGCAATTCCTAGAGCACCAATAGACCCCATGTATATATCTAGGTGTGTATATATATATATATATAAGTATGTTAAAATGTAGTTAAGGAAGGCCCTGAGGTATAGTATTGACAATTTTGTCTGGCTTTTGGTTCCGCTTGAATGCAGCAAGACGGAGCCCCAAGCGTGAAACTTCCGAACATGTAAAGAGGAGCAGGCTCAGGGTTTGGAGTCTTTTTTTTTTTAAAGTTAGGTTGACGGTAGGGGGAGTCTAGGGCCTATAGGGTTTTAGCTCTAGAGTCTCGGATTTAGGGTTGCGGATCTAGGGTCTGGTGTTTAGGGTGGGGTTTGGTCTCGGGAAGAAGGCTTCTCTTCGCAAAAGACCCTGGGCCCAAGTGCTCTATACTGAACTTAGAACCTTAGCAAAAATGATAATTTTAGCTGTATAAGGATTATACTAAACAAAGATTTAAAAATATTTCTAAGTACTCCTAAGAAGTGCTGCCAAAGAGCCGGGTCGAACCGGACGCTTCCGCCAGGCCAAGGCAAAAAGCTCTGAAACCCTGCCTTCAGACGCCGAGGGGTCTACAAAAGCTCTGTTTGGGTTTACGGTTTAGGGTTCCGTAAGGGCGTCATACTTCATTCCGGGGCCTCTCTCGTTATAGAGGTTTACTCGGGTTTTGGTGATATGGTATAGGGCTTGTGGTTTAGAGCTTCCGGTTTCTCTGAAGGTTGTGTAACTCGGAAACGGAGGGTTTCAAGGCTGCAGACTGTTTTGGGGGTTTAGCGTTTAGGGCTTTGTACTCCGGGGTTTAGAGCTGAAGGTTTAGGGTGTGGGAGTTTTAAATTCATCAGAGATGAAGGTTCAGGATTCAGGGGCTTTGTGGTTGATCTCCCAACTCCAGGACTCATGCTTTTGCAACCTTTCACCCAGCGACGTCTTTTGTAGGGTTGAAACCCACGATCCATGGTTACCGGCTTTCGGTTCAGCTTTGTTGGACACACTTGAGGGTGGATGGTTCAAGGATTGACCCTAAACCTATACCCCAAAGATCCAAAGGCTGGCTGCTATGATGAGCCAAGCCCTAAACCCTACACCCTGCACTTTCGCCGGCCTACACCCTGTGGTCCTACGGTTCAAGTTTCCAGGTAAAAGGAAACGTGAGTATAACTTGACATCAACTATAGTAGTAACTGTGCTTTGGCCTCAAATAGGAGAACAACTCCTGCCACTCACGGCCTGATCCCCTCAGGCCTATGCCCTAAACCCTGCTGCCCTTAAAAAGGGAACTTTATTCCAGAATTTAAAGGCCCGTGAAGCGGATGCTACCATGGAGCCCCATAGTTTCCCTTACAAAGGGAACCTTATCGCAGAAACTTATAGCAGCCTTACGTACAAAAACACATAATATAAGGGCCTTGCTAATTTGGAATAGGGTTGGGGGCCCATTATACTATAAATCTAATCAGGAACCCCAAATCCCCAAAATATTATAGGGAAATCCTCAAATATTCGAGGAAAATCACCAAAATATTTTAGGAAAATCACCAAAATATTATAGGTAATTCTTCAGTCCCCAATTTCAAAAGGACTGCGGGCCTGATCCCGTCAACCGGGAGCGCTGGGCTCCAGCCAGGGCAGCAGCGCACTCAGCGCGAGCTCCAACCTGAAATTCTACGGTTTACCCATAGGCCTCAAAGTAGTTCCTTTTGGGGGGTTCATATATAGAATTCTATTAGGTAATCCCAAAAAGGAACTACTTCGGGTCCTATATGGGTAATACGGCTTGAGATTTGAGGTTTAGGATTTAAGGTAAAGGTTGTCGCGTTTGGTTCCCGGTAGTAGGGCTTTGCTTTCGGGTTTCAGGAAGTGGGGGGTTTAGGGTCGATAAAGGTTTATACAAGGGCTTATAGCCACGAGCTCCAGGACTCCGCCGAGGGCTTTAGGTAGCACGAGGGCTTAGGGTTTATGCAAAAGGGTTTAGGGGTTTAGGGTTTTCAAGGGACCCTCGAAGGAAACCTTCACATGAAACCCTGACAGGTTTGCAGGAAACCCCCAAAGGAACCTTGGAACCCTTAAAGGCAACCCTTCAGGGAATCCTTAAAGGAAGCCCTACTCCGCTTAGCCCCGAGCTTCGCCGGCTCCTGCGCAAACGGATTTGGGCAGGTGAGCGCCAGGAGCAGCCGAACACAGCTGCCGGGACCACCTCGTTTCCGGCTTTGGGGTTGAGGGTTTCGGGTTTACCAGCTTTCGGGCTCAAGGTTTCGATAATCGTAGCAGCAAAGGCAAGCCTATGGAATTGTGGGTTTCAATGCTCTCTGTGGCTGCAATGTCTGCAAGCACACTCAGGTGGCGGACCCCCGTTTCTCAATCCATCCCAGACTAAGCCCCCCTCCCCCGAAGGTTTCGCCACCATCACTGACAGCCAATTCGGACTGCAAGATCACGTCAGAGTCCTCAGTGCCTTCTTTCGGAGTCAACGTCGGTTCTGGCCGTTTTCGAAGCCAGAGCGGCCGCAGGCGCTTGTGCGGCCTAGATCATGCCGAGGAAACACGCAAATTGGTCGACGTCGGCGGAGTCGGGGGACACCTCCCCGACGAGGGCCAAAGCGTTGGGTGGCAGAGCGACCTTTGATATTATGGGCCCTCAGGCTGAAAATTTAAGGGCTTACATGGTTGAGGGCACGAGGGCATAAGATAAGATAAGCTCATGAAATAGCATGAAAAATCAGACACACCCACAATCCTATTCTATTTATAGAGGCCTTATACTTACTTGTGGTGCGCGAGGTGCCCTGCAGCCTCCCTCCAGCAAGTCCCGAGCCCAAGAGTTGGCACCACAAAACCCAACAAGGCAACTACGAGCTCGACCAATGACGAATGAATAAAGCTTTCATATCTTTGAAGCTCGCGCATGCACGGAGGATGAAGGAAGGGATCCTACAAACTGTTTCCAAAAAGCGCCGGACCTCTAGACACTCAGCCACACTACTCCGAAACGCCCTGCACTCGAAACCGCTACTGCACTTCAACTGTCTCAAAACCTTCACCACAGCCCGACATTACCACAAACAGGCTCAAAGACCTACCCCAAGCCACAACCCCAAAGCCCAGAGCCCTACCCCTAAACCCAAAAGCCAGAACCCAAAACTTCTTAGCGCCCTCAAAGAAGATGATTAAGCTGCCGTAAACCTTAGAAGGGGCCCCCACCCTGTAATAGTGGTATAATAGGAATACAATAGGGCCCTACTATAATCCTTATAGTCACTATTACAGGGTGGGGGCAGCTTCTAACATGAACCCTCATATATTCGAAAATCTAGAAGCCCTCGAACTCGAAAGCCCCGCTCCCACGGGGAGCTCCCAAGCGCCGCGCTGGGCCCCAGGGCTGCGCCGAATACCTCCTTCGGGGCGTCTTGGCTTGCCTAGAGGCTCATACCTTACCCCTTTTTTTGGATACCTGGCTTTATGGTGAGGATCTGTTATATAGAAAAGTAGATACCCTCTAAAAGGGGTAGGGCATGAGCCTGCAGGTAGGGCTTAGGTTTAGGTTTTGTATCTAGGAGCCTGGCAAGGGTGGTTAGGGTTAGAAGGCGAAGCGCCACGGTACAAGGTTTAGAGTTTAGCTCCATGTGAAGCATAGAATAACAGCTGCACATTCTGCTGTATGTTTGTAGAGTTTTAGGCGCTGCCTACTGTAGGGTTTCCGAGTGTCTCACAGCAGCTTTGATGGGGTTCTCACTCAGTCTGTCCATCTGTTCCGGCTTGTACACGGTTTGTTAAAGGGTTTTGGATTCAGGATTTTGGGCTTGTTCTGCATTCAGGCTGTTTCTCAACCTTCGAGATCGCACTATACTGAGGAGTTTGTCTCTGTCAGGATCATCCAGGTCGAATTTGGTGCAGCTTTCTGCAGAAGGGCTTTTGGTTTAGTGGGTTGGTTTTCGGGATTTGTTGCCAGTTTAGGGTTCTTTGTGTTGGGTCTGGACTCCAGGTCCTGTGGATCATAGTTCTTCCTCTACGACTCTACGACTTGGGAGCCCAATACCGGAAAGTCATCGGGTGCCCGCGCTGGGTCGCACAGGGTTTACCCATAGGCCCCAAAGTAGTTCCTTTTGGGGGTTCATATATAGAATTCTATTGGGTAATCCCAAAAAGGAACTACTTTGGGGCCTATGGGTGTGCTTGGGATGTCTTTTGCAAGTGCCCTGTGTCTTTCCTGCAGCTGGAATTCAGAGACGGTTCGAGGTTCACTCCGGTTTAGGGTTTAGGGTTTAGGGTTGAAGTTGTGTTGCATAATCTGGCTGCATGATTGCGAAGCAGGCAGTGGGCCTTGACATTTTGATTCGCGGTTTCGGAGGCATTTGAAGTGAACTCTGCTATTCAGACATAGGGACACCACAAGTCTCTATCATAACTGTGTAAGAAAAACCCTACACCCCACATCCTAAACTCTGCATCGAGCCCTAGGCACTAAGCCCACAAAAATGTCCTTGTGTAGGAGGCCCCAATCGGCTGCCGGTGCAAGCTGCACAGACTGGATCTGCCTAGAAGGGCAAAGGGATCTGAGTTTAGGGTTTGGGATTTAGGAAGCAGGCTTTAGGGCAAGATGGAATGTTTGTGGCTACAACTGCATCTTACCTTCATACAACGAACTCCTACTTCAAAACCCCAAAACTTGAAAAGTCGTAAACAAACCCCAGAATGCTAGCCCTAAGTCGGAGCACTTCTTTCCAGGTTCCCATCTCCATTGAGGACAGCTCTACCGTCCTACAGTCACACCTTTAAACTTGGTTCTTAGCAGGGAATGCAGGAGTGGGTTATAGGGACCACGATAAGGGACTATCACAGGGATCCATTCCCCAATTCCCTACTAAGAACCATGGAGCCCTAGACCCTAAACCCTCAGAACCAGGGAGCTTGAAACTTCGGAGAATTTGACTGCCGCTGAAACTTCGGGTAGTTTTGCAGCTTCAAAGGGTTACGGCCTTCCAGGTTGGGGTTCCAGGTATGGGGCTTAGGGCCTGCTGGCCTTTAGGGATTTAGCGGCTTGGGCTTTAGGGCTTTGGGGTTCACGGCTAGGGCCAGGGGGCTCTCGGGGTTTTCGAGGGTTGCTTGGGATGTGGGTCACAGTCATTGGGCGTAGGGTTCGCTCGAGGTTAGAAGCCGGGGTCCAGAGTTAAATTTCGGCTTCAAGCACTTGAACGTGAGGTCTCATGTTTTTGCAAAGTGTTACAGGTTGGGTTAAAGAATGTGTGGCGAACGGCCAAATCCCACCGATCCCGCAACCCTCGGCATCCCTGAAGCTTCAACCCTCTAAACCCTGGAAGCCCTGAACCGTACTGGTTTTTCAACCAGCCCTAAAAGGTAGACGCTAAACCCCAAACCTCAGAACTCTAAACCCTAAAACCCTTAACCTCCAGCCCCCGCCTCGAATCCTGAACGGCATATAAGCCCGCAAATCTGAGGACCTTAAATCCTAAACCCTAAACCCGAAACTGTTTAGGATTAAACAACTGCTTAAACCTTGTTCCTACACCTTGTCTTCCGGATGAGCTCTGCGATGCCCTGCACCCGACCTTTACTGCTGCATCCGCGGCGCCACTGGGGTCCTTGGAACCTTAGTCTCTGGGCAAGGGTTGCGGCTTTGGGGCCTTAAGGGTTTCAGGAAAGTTTGGATTTAGGGCCTGGGCTTTGGGGCAGAGGACTCATAGGGCTTCTAAAACCTATGGTGCACAAGGTTTACGACTGAAGAGCCTTCATATCGAAATAAACGGCGGAAACAGGCTTTTCAAAGGAGAACTGCCAGGGCCTCGAACACGTGGTCTCTTAACCCCTACCACCCTCCCCCCCCCATGAACGCCTTATCACAGTAATGGAATCTTCATAATTCCTATGATAAGCCCGTATAGCAGAAGTTGAGCTGTTTGGCCATTTATTTGTCATTGGACCGGCACTGCAGGACTTTACTTGATCCTCGACGTGGTGCTGTACATATTCTGACTCACTGAGGTTTCCGTCTAAACATGTTCCAACAACACGAGATATCCTAAAAGATTCCTGAGCTGGAACATCTTGTCATTGAGGAACTTTCGCGAGTTGTTGGGCTATAAGCCTCTGTGGTAGATTGCCCTAAGCCCTATCTGGAAGGTTCGGGGTTGCCCCGTGCCAGGCATGATCCTGAACACGGAGGTTAACACTGGACTCCAAAAACCTTGAGTGAAATAGTTTAGGGTTTAGGGCTGTCACCTGAACAAAAGAACCCTAAGCCCTAAACCCTACAGTTCCATTCCAAGATTGATTGGGCCCAAGTTGGACGGCGCTGGAACTGCGTTGTCCTTAGTCTCTAAGCTGCCTTGGGAATGTGTCCTTCAAATCCATGGAGGATCCTCAACGCTAAACCTTAATAAACTATCATAGCGGATGAACTGAATACAGATTGAGTTCTCATTCACGTATACTAAGCCAGCGAAACTGTTTAGGGTTTAGGGGTGTAGGGGTTTAGGAAAGCTTAGGGTAAAACACCCTAAACCCCTAAACCCTAAACCATAAACTTAACCCCCAAAACGATCAGCCCGAGGCACCGCACGGAACAGAGCTCCCGAGCATCGCAGAGCCCGGCACTTACATCCCGGCCGGCCGCCCGGAGCTCGTGGATCTCCTTCTGTATACTTAGGGTTTATTTAGGCTTTAGGGAGGGTCCTTTTAGGGATCCTTTAAGGGTTCCTTTGGGGGTATATTTAGGGTTTAGGGTTTAGGGAGGGTCCTTTTAGGGATTCTTTAAGGGTTCCTTTAGGGGTGTAGTTAGGGTTGAGGGTTTAGGGAGGGTCCGTCCTTTAAGGGTTCCATTAAGGATTTAGGGTTTAGGGTTCAGGATTTAGGCTCCTTTTTAAGAAGGGTCCCATGATTCCTTTTGAAGGTTCTTTCATTACGGATCCGATGATTCCATTGAGGGTCCCTCGAATAAGAATCCCAGATTCCTACCCTAAACCCTGTTCAAGGTTTTAGTCTAGGAGCCCCCTTTGTCCCCTCGGTTTCCGAAAATAGGGGACCCTAATATAGTACCCTATTTAGTAGGACCCTTTTTTCTAAGAACCCCCCAAAATAAGGTACCCTTAACCCTAAGCCCGTATAGATCCAGTATAGAACCCGTACAGGAACCCTTAAAGGAAGCCTTAAAGGAACCTAAAATAAGGTACCCCTAATCTTCGGAAACTCCCATATACGTAAACCCTAAACCCCAAACCCCAAACCCTAAACCCCAAACCCCAAACCCTAAACCCTAAACCCTAAACCCTAAACCCCAAACCCTAAACCCTAAACCCTAAACCCTAAACCCTAAACCCTAAAAACCCTAGACCCTAACCCTAAACCCTAAACCTAAACCTAAACCCTAAACCCTAAACCAAAACCCTAACCCTAAACCCTAAACCCAAACCCTAACCCTAAACCCCAAACCCTAAACCCTAAACCCTAAACCCTAAACCCTAAACCCTAAACCCTAAACCCTAAACCCTAAACCCTAAACCCTAAACCCTGGACCCTAAACCTCTCTTTCACATGTATATTTAAAGGTTAATGGCCTTAGTGGTTTTTGTCCCTCGGGTGCTTGCTCGACCACCCCGCAGGGACAAAAACCACTAATTTGGCAGTGCTTTCCGGCCTGAACACTGCCAAATTGGTGGTTTTTGTCCCTCGGACCACCCCGCAGGAACAAAAACCACTAATTTGGCAGTGTGTTCCGGCCTGAACACTGCCAAATTAGTGGTTTTTGTCCCTCGGACCACCCCGCAGGGACAAAAACCACTAATTTGGCAGTGTGTCCGGCCTGAACACTGCCAAATTAGTGGTTTTTGTCCCTCGGACCACCCTGCAGGGACAAAAACCACTAATTTGGCAGTGTGTTCCGGCCTGAACACTGCCAAATTAATGGTTTCTGTCCCTCGGACCACCCTGCAGGGACAAAAACCATTAATTTGGCAGTGTGTTCCGGCCTGAACACTGCCAAATTAATGGTTTTTGTCCCTCGGACCACCCTGCAGGGACAAAAACCACTAATTTGGCAGTGTTCAGGCCGGAACACACTGCCAAATTAGTGGTTTTTGTCCCTGCCAAATTAGGGGTTTTTGTCCCTGCAGGGTGGGTTTAGGGCATACTTGGTTGGCCTTTAGGGTGTAGGAAGAAACTGTATATTTTCCTAATGTTTTGGGATTCTTTGGGCGGGTGGGTTTTTTGCTACTACACTGCTGGCCTAGTGATTTCTTAGCCCAGCTAATCGTAAACCCTAAACCCTAAACCCTAAACCCCAAACCCTAGACCCTAAACCCTAAACCCTAGACCCTAAACCCTAAACCCTGTTCAGGGTTTTTAGTCTAGGAGCCCCTTTTTTCCCTACGAAGATGCAGGGCTCCTGGGCTGCCGCGGCCCAGGCCATAGGCGCTCTGGGTGGCAGCCGGCAGTCAGCGAGGTCCACCTCTGGGTGTAGGCTTGTGGGGTTTGGGAGTTTAGGGTTGTGGGGTTTAGGAGTTTAGGGTTGTGAGGTTTGGGAGTTTAGGGTTCAGTTTATGAGTTGTTGGGTTTAGGCTTAGGGTTTAGTGCTTAAGGCTCAGATTTTTCAAAGGGTGTTTAACTGCTGTTAAGGAGCGAAACTACGGTTTTACCACGATATGGACAAGGGCAAGGGCAGAGGTAGGAGGTATGCATCCGTATTGTGGCAGCTTCAAGTGTTTCCTCTAAAAGGTGGTTGTGAAAATTAGGGTCCATTTTGGGTCCCTATTATAAGACGGCACCTATTATTTAGGGTACCCCAAAAGGGGACTATAAGTTTGGCAACCACCCTAATGTTGAGAACCCACTGAGGTTTTGGGCTGTGGCTCTCCAGTGATGGGCTATGGTGCTTGTAAGATAATACATCCTGACACCATATGTCTCATCGGTAAACAAACAAGACCCCTGAAATCTTTACTGTAAACCCGGCAAAGCCCCTTACAAAGCCTTGATGAGCCCCCAATTTCTCAGACCCCTGCATGACAGTAGTGCTCCGTCTGCAATATAGAGACACGACCCAACCCCACACCCAAAGCACCGCGCTCCCGCGCCTCCCAAGTGTCCTGCTCGCTGTAGCGCGCGGAGGCCAGGAAGAGCCTGCGATCGTGTGGTTCCGGCTCGGGGGGCCTCGAGGCTTTAGCTCAAGCTTCTCCTACTTGTCGGGTATCATGGGGAACTCAAGGTTAACCTTTTTGGCTATATAGGGATTGTAGAGAGACTACACGACCCCAAAAAAAGTGAAAGGTTACCTACTCTACTCCTAGGTTTCAGAGCTCAGGGTGAGACTTTGAGGCTCGGGTATTGTGGTGAGGCTTATACTAGACTCCCCTTAGAACCATAGTAAAAAAAAAAGGATTTTTAATATTCTCTTGGGTTTTAAATGAACAGAAAATAATTCCTAAGGAGACCATCGTGTAGGGCTTCGGGTTTCAGGGTGGGCGGCAACAGCAACAGCACAAGCTGGGCAAGATCAGCAAGAACTGAAACAAAAGGGAAAACACTAGCAACAGGGGCCACCATTGACACAACAGCAGCAAGAGGCTTCACCCATTCGTTTGTTCAGAAGTCAGGTACTCGGATGTACTCGGCACATCTAGTATTCTGAATTGGTGCGTGTCCATCAAGAGCAGGTGGAGGAGTGACAGCCCTGCCAACCTCAATTCATCTGCACATTCTTGGCTTCAAGACGCAACGTGCCTGAACTTGTGCGCACCTATCCATGTCTGCGATTGCCGAACTCGGCGTGTGCTTTTCCAAAGTCTTATAGTGTTGCCTCCGGCAACTTCCTCGCTTCAGACCGTTTCCTTACCATAAGTCACAACCTTGGTGAAATGATTGCGGAAGCTCTTGTAATAGTAATAGTAAGAGTAATAGTAACACTAATAATAATAATACTAATAGTAATACTAATAGTATTAGTAGAATACCAATAGTAGTAATACTAATGGTAATAGTAAAACGCCGCGGACCCGAGGCCGAAACACCAACTGGAGCTCCGACCCTTGCCGCGCCTCGGCAGGCCTTGCGCAGCGGAGAAGCCTTGATTGACACAAGGCCAGGAGCTACTTGGGAGTTTAGGGTTTAGGGCTTAGGTTTTAGGGTTTAGGGTTTAGAGTTTCCAAAAAAATTCGGGTACCTTTATTTAACGTTGTTATAATAAGGACCCTTCTATTCAGGGTGCTATAGTAGGGATTAGGGTACCTTTATTTACGGTCGTTATAATAAGGATCCTTCTATTCAGAGTGCTGTAGTAGGGATTAGGGTACCTTTATTTAAAGTCGTTATAATAGGGATCCTGCTATTCAGGGTGCTATGTTAAGGTCCCCCTAATTTTCGGAAACTCCCACTTGAAGGATCCTATACCGAACTTAGAACCCTTGCAAAAATTATAATTTTAGCTGTTTCTTAGGGATTATAATAACCAAAAATTAAAAAATCTCTAAGTACCCCGAAGGATCCTAAGATTAGGACCGTGGGGTCGGAGATTCCAAGGGTAGAAGGAGGGACCCTTAATAAGGACCCCTACAGGGAACTCCAGAAAGTTGGAATATGGTTTCAGGGTAGGATACCCTATAATTTTCCATAAAGGGCTTAGGATTGTCATATTCCAACTTTCTGGCTTTTACTTTAGGTATATACCCTTAATATAGCTATTATAAACCAATATATAGGCCATTAGAGGATAGGGGTCCCCATTGAGGGTGCCTCCTTTTCCCCTTTGATTCAAGGATTTACAGATTGGTCAGGGTTTCTTTTTTCTTGAGCTCCGGGGTACATGGAAGTAGCATCATATGTAGGGCATGGTGTGTGTGTGTGTGTGGGTGTAGGTATATATACATGTTACACATATACATAATGCATATGGTTGTATATGTATGAGACACATATACGTGTACATATATATATATATATATATATGTATGTATATATATATATATATAGATGTGTGCGTACACGACAAACAGAGAGAGAGTGAGAGCGAGAGCGAGAGCGAGAGAGAGAGAGAGAGAGAGAGTGCGAGAGAGAGAGAGAGAGAGAGAGAAGAGAGAAAAGAGAGAGTGCGAGAGAGAGAGAGAGAAGAGAGAAAAGAGAGAAAAGAGAGAAAAGAGAGAAAAGAGAGAAAAGAGAGAAAAGAGAGAAAAGAGAGAGTACTAACAGTTACTAACAGTACGGCTACCAGTGCAGATTCAAGCAGACATCTTCCACAGTTATTTTTGTAGCACATGCGACCTAATCAAAGACAAGAACCATGATTGCAGACCTCACATCATCCTCCTCGCCTTCCTCCCCGTCGAGCTTTAATCGAGAACAACAGACGGAGCCGATACTTACCCCACAAGAAGTCCCCAGCTGTCGCCATGGAGCAGACGGACCAAGACATGTAGAACTGCTCGTAATTCGTCTGCACCTTTGAGCGCACATCTTCCAAGTCTCGGAGTTTGGGGTTGCCTGCTGAAAGGCTTAGGCTTCGGGACCCCTCTCACATCGACTTCGCCGGACGCCTCTTCTACATCAAGGCGCTTCGTGAATGAACTACTTTTCACATCCAGACTGCGTGTTCTGTTCCTACAGGAGTTTACTACAGCTTATACGGGGCGTAATCAATAGACCAGAAGGAACCTGATCGGAGAGAAAGCTCCGGGCTCTTCAGGGTTTCGGACGCTTGAGGCTTAAGGGCTATCGGTATGGTAGTATAGGCTTCGGCAGTTTGGGCCTGGGGCTCCTTGGAGCGATAACCCCAGTCCTACCTATAGTTTCCATTGTAGTTCCTTTTTGGGGTTACCTTTTAGGATCCTTAATATAAAACTGGTTAAACCAAATAATGGAACTACAATGGACACTATAGGTAAGGCTTTGGGATCTCTGTTGAAGTTATATGGGTGGTTGTCAACATCATGGTCCCTTTTTGGGGTACCCTAAATAATAGGTGCCGTATTATAATAACTGTAGGTAGGTGCCCTGTCGCCTGCCATCAGCATTCTTCGATCAGATCAGGGGTTTAGGGCTGTCGGTGTAGGGTTTGCGGTTCAACCCCCAAGGTTTAGGGTTTAGGGTTTCGGGTTTAGGGTTTCGGGTTTAGGGTTTCGGGTTTAGGGTTTCGGGTTTAAGGCTTAGGGTTTCGGGCTGTTTTTGACTAGGCTCATCACGGTTCGCATCCAGACATGCTTCGACGGCTTCAAAAGGTGCAGTCAAGCAGCCCCATTGGCGTGCGTCACCATGGACTCCACCCCCACCTCTGTTTGGCCCAATTGCGAGTCTGAGAATCGCCAAACAAGTCTGGGTGCTTCTATGTATGTATTGGCCTGCTTTTAGCGTTCGCGGCCCTAATAAAGTTGTAGGCTTTGAGTCTGGGGCGCGAACCACCAATTCACCGCTTCCAAAATGTTTGCTCCACGACAAATGCAAGAGGCCACGCCCCTAAACCAGAAACCCCCAACAAAGAATTCAAAGAACAGTAGACTGTCCGACAAACTCTTCTTTTTGCTATAGACTTCATTCACTGCTGTCTTCTGGCAGAACCGGGTGTCGTCCCTACTACAGTCTTCTTCTATGATTCTTCTGAATGCATGCTGAACTCCTGAACCCGAGCGAGCTGAATCCCGAGGCTGAAACGCCCGCCGAGCCGCCATCAAGTGAGTGCACCACCTCTCTTCCATAGGCCCGAAACGCGGATCCTCACTGGCTCAGGATTTAGGGCTTTAGGGGCAGAAGGTCAAAGAACCTAAGACCAAACAGAGTGTCCAACGCCACTGCAGCAACCAAGCGCTTCGGGGAACATTCTGCCATGTGACAATGTGGAGAAGCGGTCATATAAGAATCATAGTGTTACCTAGTTATCACCCTAGCTATTAAGTCACATACTACTACTACTACTACTACTACTACTACTACTACTACTACTACTACTACTACTACTACTACTACTACTACTGCTACTACTACTACTACTACTACTACTACTACTACTACTACTACTACTACTACTATTACTACTACTACTACTACCACTACTACTACTACTACTACTACTACTACTACTACTACTACTACTACTACTACTACTACTACTACTACTACTACTACTATACTACTCCTGCTGCTACTACTACTACTGCTGCTACTACCACTGCTACTGCTAATGCTACTACTACTGCTACTACTACTACTACTACTACTACTACTACTACTACTACTACTACTACTATACTCAGGAAGAACGTCTTGAACCGGCACTGCCTTTCACTGCAAAAGGTTGAGGGCTAAAGCGTACATTAACTGCCAAAGCCTAAACAAGGGCCTAAACACTACCTTAACCCTGAAGAACCTGCCTTTTCAGGGTGTCTTAATATGATTTCCTTCTATAGTCCTTACAAATGTAGGTTACTCCGGGTTGAGGTAAACCCTAAGAGACAAACCATAATTGCTGGTGTTCAAGTACCGGATATATTGTAACCGCTCCCTCAGCTTCGAGCCCTCACTGCCAAACAACTGAGCCAAGGGTCCTCAATCCATACATATGTTCATACATAAATATATATATATATATATATATATATATATATGAACATAACATGTAAACACAGATACATACATGTACACATATATATATATATATATATATATACACATACACATCCATTATCATCCATACATACATACATACATACATACGTTACATACATACATACATACAGTACATACATACATACATACATACAGTACATGCAAAATACATATTCCCTTGGAACCTCCACATAAATCCGCAAAGCCTCGAATAGTGTGCCGTCCACTCTCCACCTTGTGCTCAAGCCTACACCTCTCGACCCTGCACCTCACGTCTCTCAGTCCCTGCACTCCTAAACCCTGAAACCCGCAAACCCACCATCTCCTGGGTGAAGCCGGGCGGGAGGCAGTAGGCGATGATTCTCCGCAGCAGCCGTGGGTTGGGCTTCCTCAAGTGACTTGTTTGGGTTTTTGGGCTTTGGGTTCGCTTGCAGCAGCGTTGCGGCGTTCAGAGCTTCGCGCCGCCTTGTGGTTCCTTAACAATTACCTATACTAGTTTGCGTGGTTCCTTGTTGTACTTATAGAAAAACGGGCCCCAAAACCCTGTTCTAATCGTTGAGTCGAGTTCAGGAGTCCAAAAAACAAACTTGATTGCCGGTTAGGGTGGAAGCTTCGAGTGTTCGGAATCGGAAACGGCGAACACCTAAACCGCTCTTTCCTTTGCGACCGGCAAACAGCTTCATGATGACGATGAAGATGATGACGATGATGACGATTATAATGATGATGATGATGGTGATGACGATGATGATGGTGATGAGGGCGATGAGGGTGATGATGGTGATGATGGCGATGATGGTGATAATGGTGATGATGTTGCTGGTGGTGATGATGATGATGGCAATGATGGCGATGGTGATGGTGATGGTCGTTACCGCGGCGATCCTGGCGATGGTGCTGGTGATGTAGGTGACTGTGATGACAATATGAGGAACATGTGCCTGCGGTGAAGAGTGATGATCATGGTGATGAAGGCGCGGTGATTCTGCGACTTGCGATAATGCCGTTGGAGCATCATCGGCTGCACCACCGCGTGAGCATTGGCGGTCAGCAGCAGCCGCGCTTGCTCAAAGGCAATCTGCCGCTGCGCACCGTCTGACTCACGGAGAAGCAATCGCCGACCCAGCCAGTACCTCGGTTGTGGGGGGTTTGGAGATAATGGGTTATGGATTGGGGTTTAGGGCAGGGGTTGTGGTTGAGGAATCAGAGTTTAGGGTTGCAAGGGAATTTGGGAGCCCCGGTCGTCTTGGGTTTCTCGATGGCTTTCGGCGGCCAGGTGCTGCCGGGCTTGTCAGACCCTGCGAGGCGGCTTGTACTCTTCATCCTCATATACACCTAAATGTAAGTTCGTGCATTTGCATACATGTATGCACACAACAGCATGCAAGCTCGTAGATCGAACGCGAATGTTTACACAGCTTGCAAGAGCTGCAACATGTGATCCGTCATCGGCATAACCATCAGATTGAAATCCGACGATATTGGCGGGATGACAACCGCAACACCATTTGTCGTGAAAGCACTTACAACGCTGCTCAATACCAGCAGCAGAAAAACGCTTAAGCGCACCTCCTCCAAAAAATAGCCTATTGCCCGAAATCCCTAAACCCACCCGAGGCTCTGAAAAACTTTCACCCCCCATCCCAAACCCATCAAAACATCCTAAACGCCTCCCACAAAACACACACGAAAAACAAAGCAGCAAGGCCAACACGCCCACCCCCTAAAAACAAGCAAGAACCGCAACAATAATGTAAACAACAGCCGAACATTCATCGTGAGCATCATCATGACCACCTTTCCAAAATCATAGCGGCAAGAATAGAACAAAAACCCTAAACCCTAAAACCCTAACACCCTAAACCCCTACTAAAACCCCTAAAACCCTGAAACCCCATAAAGCCCCTAAACCCCTAAAACCCCTCTAGAAACCCCTAAACCCTACACCCTTAAAGCCCCTAAAAAGGGCCCCAGCGGCTGCTTCCAGGCCCCGCTTCGTCCTCGCCCCTTGGGCTGCGGCGCCCGGCTGAGGGTTCGCGGGGGTCGGCCGCCCAAGCTGCCTGGAAGCAGGGTTTAGGGGTTTAGGGGTTTTGTGGCTTGAAGGTTTAGGGTTTAGGGGTTTTGGGTTTTGGGGTTTAGGGTTTAGGGTTTTAGGGTTTGGGGGCTTGGGGTTTTGGGAGTTTGAAACACCTGCTGGTCTTTTGTTTTAGGTGTTTAAAACCAATCGCTGGTTTTTGTGGTGTTAAAGGCTTTTGACGAAGGGTTTCTTGGTGCGTATGTATGGGTGGCACTTTCTGATTATTGCTTCTTTAGCTTACTTTCCTTTCTGATTAATTATTGCTTCTTTGACTTTCCTTTCTGATTATTGCTTCTGCGACTTTACTGGTGTTTGTTTAAGGGCTCTCGCAAGGCTCTATACCAAGATTTTATACGGTGCTACAGGGGTTTCTATCGGGTTGTTTACGAGGCTGTCGTAGATGGGTTCCTGCAGGGGTTAAGTATGGGCTATTAAAGCTTCAGGCTGCAGGGAACACTTGTCTTGCCTCAAGCCCGAAACCCTAAACCCTCATCCCTAAAATTTTAAACCCTCAACCTCACTTAACCCCTAAACCGTAAACCCTCATCCCTAAAATCTTAAACGCTCAACCTCACTTAACCCCTAAACCCTAAACCCCAACCTGGAGCTTAGGGCCTGGAGTATTCAAGGATCAAGCTCGAGGTTTCGAGGTGTTTTGGAGTTTACGGCCTTTGGCGTTTACTGTAGGGTGGCTTAGGGCTTCATGTCTTTGGCATTAGGGCCCTTAGGGGCCTAGCGCTTAATGTTGTTAAGGGTCTTAGCAAAGCAGGCTTTACAAGCTGCTGGAAGGGTGTTTGAAGGCTTAAACAAACTGTAAGGTGTTTTTCAAAAATCTTCCAGCGGTTTTTGAGTGTTGCTCAAGTTTTGCTCGAGCTTTGAAATTTGCGAGGTGATAATGATAGTGCTTGCCCTGCCACATCCCTAGCCTCAACTCTACACGCTAAACCACAATCCCTGAGTATCCATGAACCCCAGAAGAGGCACTAGGGACGGTTTGGATCTCCGACACCCAAAGAACGTCGGGGGGAAGCATGATGCGGCCAAGCAGCACAAATGAACGAAACGCCAAACCCCGGGGAGGCTCGTGCTGTAGAGCCGGAGGGGCCACCTGTAGATTTAGGGTTTAGGGTTTAGGGTTTGGGTCTAGACTTCTGGTGTTTAGGAGTTTAGGGTAGGGGATTTAGGTTTAGGGCTTTCGGGTTGATAAGGTTTCGACGGATTCGACTGGAGGTCCAGAGTAGGAACGTGAAATCATAGCCTCAAATGTAGGGGTTCAGCAAGAGTCTGGATTCCTGATAAAGAACTCAGGTTCAGTTGCCACCATGCGGAGACCGGATGCCCCCGACTATGGTAAGTTAACTCACATTTCTTAACAGGAATCCAATAAGTTGTCACCTTCGGGGTTCTGATTTTTTTACGAGGTTGACAAGCTCCCCAGTAGCCCCTTACAAGCAAGGGTGTCTTTTTGAGTGTTTTCTACTATTTCAGTCCTGATGGAGAGGACCCTAAACCCCAAACCCTGCAAACTGCTTCCAGGGTGGTATAGTTTCATTGCCGACAGGGGCACCGACCGGCCATTTCAAAACGCGCCAGGGAAATCCCGTCCAGGAAGCAAAGTACATCGCAAAGTAAGCCTGGGCTGTTAGACAAATGGACATAAGTCTCTGTGTATGTCTGCTTGTCTGTATGTAACTGTATGTACGTACATAGCTACATACGTACGTACATACCTATGTACATACTAACATTTCGAACATGTGTAGGTGTGTACATATACATATGTACACACATGTAGAAAAACCCGTGCATGTGTGTACGTAAATATGTGTGTGTGTATATATATATGTATGACGGCGGCAAATATTTATTTGCGCTTTTAAGATCGAAGGCTGGTACTGGGCGCTGTACAGAGGTTAGAGCCTGGGAGCATGAGAAAGAAAACCGGCACCAAGATCTTCATAAGCCTGAGACTATCAACACTCAGCAGCAGATCACCATCCCGATACTTGTATGTTTGCAAAAAGTCAGTAGACCCCACCTCCTTCCCCCAATAGCTGAAAGAATCCAGAGCACGGAACCAGAATAACAAGAGAATGCCGATGGCAGAAAGAAGCAGCAGCGTCGGCATGGTAACGAGAGGTATGCACTGGCAACAGTAGTAACAGCAGAACGATAGCAGCCAGTATCACAACCACATGAAACAGTAGATACTATGTTCCCCAAGTATGCCCTAAATGATCAGCCAGTCTCAATAACGAGACCCCAAAATAAAGCCAAACAGCTTGGCCTTACGACGAAATAGTGTAATATTACAGTAATACAAAACGTACCGGATATCCAACGAACACCCAGATACGGGTACTTTGGTCAGCCGAGAATCCCTCTGCATAGTCCAAAAACCAGTTGAGCATGCTGGGATCACCTGGGCAGTAACGGATTTTGGGTTTAGGGCTTAGCACAGGGCTCATGCCCCTAAACCCTAAACCCTAAACCCCTAAACCCTAAATCCCTTTTTGGGGGGGGGCTTATTATCCTCCACCGCTGTAAGGGTGGAAGGCTCAAGCCCTGTCCGACGTGCTCAGGGAATCTAAGGCCCACCTGTGTCTAGGTCCGTTTGGGCTTGGGGTGAATGGGGCTCAGGTTTAGAGCTCAGGGTTTTTTTTGTTAAGTGCAATGGCGTCTTTCTGGTTCGCGCAGATCCGGATAGTCGCCCGCCAGAGCTCAGGGTTTGCGGTATGGGGTTTCGGGTTCAGGGTTTAGGGTTTCGGGTTTCGGCTCCGGGCTAGCGGCCTGTGCTTGGGGTTTAGGGTTTGGGGCTTAGGGTGGGTGGCTTACTTTTGCATTCATCAATACGGCTGTACAACCAGGTCCATTGTCGGAGTGAGGCCAAGGTTTTGGACATGTCGTGAGTGCACATTTCTCCCAGGCCCTTCGATGCAAGTAGAACGGCTTGGTGGTATCGGGCCTTGGATGATCATGGTGTGGTCTTGGGCACTATGGAGCCCTTCACTGTACCACACTCCAGGACCCAAAGCACGCCGGGCCACGTGCGGCAAAGTCAGGCTTCAAGGCTTCCGCGCCCTGATTCCCTTCGAGGCGCTGTACTGTCTCGACCTGCGGCTGCAGGACGGGGTCTGACCATCTTCGTTTTCATCGTGGTCATGGCCATGAAAACAAGACTCATGCTATTCAAGCAGCTGGTGGTGCAGTGGAGTAGGCTTGCGGGGAGGATGGGGTGTGCATGATAAGTAGGGTGAGAAATACACTCATGCGGGTAGTGGTACCTGATAAATCAACTAAGGAAAACTTTAAAACGGCGATCAAAGCCCGAAATGACTCCGAAAGCCCGGTTGGGTTTGGTTTAGGCTCTAGGCTTTAGGGTTCAGGGTTGAGAATTTAGGGTTTAAGCTTTTAGGTTGCCATTGGGTTGCGGGCTTGTTTCGCTAAATCCATCGGCACTTCGCGCTTTATCTTAAGCTCCGTGTACCTTCAGCATCCAAAAGCCGGTCTATTTTTTTTTTAAAGTGCAGTGGGGGGGTTTAGGGTTTAGGGTTTTGGACTGCCAACCCTGTAGGGGTTGGAAGCCCGTAGCCTTGGTCTTTACGGATCTTGTCGCTTGGAGTTGGGTTGGGGCTTCAGTGTTCTATGGTTTCCTAAACCCAAGAGTAACCCAGGCATAAAAAGGATGCCCTTTTTGGTTTAAAGGGGTTTATAAGGGAACCTGAACCCTAAAAAAAGGGAATAAGGGCCTACTCTAGGTCCTAGTTTCTATTCTTATGGCCTTTTTGAGCACGTTGTGTGATCTTTGCTTGCGCTCGAGACCCGCACCTCGTGCTGGCCTTCCAGGGCCTTTTCAAGCGCACGACGCTCCTCCTGCAGACGGTAATCCCATAAGCACTTCTGCGAATTGTGTGCAAGGACGCATGCATACCCGGAAGCTTGCTTCTGATGTTCTTCGGATTGCACAGCAAGCTCTGGAGCTTGGCATCCGCGCTTTGGCCGGCTAGTAAACCCAGACCCTGGAACCCCACCGCAAGCCCTAGGCCTAAGCCCCAAATACTGAACCCAGAGCCGTAAACCTGCTAAACTCGACATCTCAAACAAAGATCCTACGAACGAACCATGGCACACCTATATAAACCCAGGGTCCTGCTGCAGCCTCCACAGCGACCGCGCTTCCTCCCGGCGCTGTTTTCGAAGCGCCTCCTCCTGAATGAGGGTTGGGTTGAAAAAAACGCCTCTGCGCAGCCACACCGGGCTCAGGGTGTAAGTTCCATCCCAGAGAGCCCAATACCCATTAATTAAGGAATATAGCCCAAATCATAAGGGTGCGCATAGTATGATTTAAGCTATATTCCTTAATTAAGGGGTACTGGGCTCTCTGGGATAGAGTCTCGTGCGTTCTGTTCAGGAAACCGCCCGAAACCATGAGGCTGAAGCCTGAACAGCAACTAAAAACCCACGGCGATCGTGAGGCGACTTGGGTCTCTGCCTTCTCTGTGCGCGTGAAAGAATCGGATCGGGGATTTTAGGCAAAACACGAGACCCTCTTGTCAGAAACTTAGCGGCGGGAGGTAGCAAACATGTACCTCCAAATGTATATCACATAACATTACCAACACGATCAGTGAGAATACTTCTCCAGAACGGGCGAGCAGTATGTCATAGCGCAGCCAAGAACAAGAACTACAGACCACCTTCCGCACAAGTAAAGTATTAAGAATCGACAGGTCGTTGCAAAAGCCGAAGCCTGATGGCGTAGGTCTACCCTTAAGAAGGACCCCTGGGTATATACACTTAATATAGCTATTATATACCCATTATATAGCCCATTATAGGGTAGTTTTGAGGATTTGGGGTTTGAAGTTTAAGGCGTCCCTTAGATTATCGGCAGCTTTCACACGGGGCTTAGATCCACAATAAATCTCTAAAACCTCTAAATCCCTAAATCCTATACCCTAAACCTGCTGGTGAGGGCTGCTCTCCTCCAGTCTCTTCTGCTCCAGCGTCTCTTGCAAGGCAGCTTTCTTCTGCTGCTGCCTAGGGTTAGTTCAGGGCTTCGGGTTTAGGGTCGCATGATACTGGGGGCTTGTTACTTGTTGGTCTCAGGGTGCTCAGAGTGCATGGACTGAATGGCAAAAGCGGTGGTACGGCAGTCTTCGCCGATGATATAATCAACAACGCGTGGCTCAAGAACTAATCACTGACCTTCTAGTAGCAATGACGACGATGATGAAAATGATGGTTGTCAGGCCCATCCTCACCACGCATGCGATGCGACAACCGTTTTCTCCTCCATGCACTACTTTGGGAGTCGCAGCTTTGCCACCGACCCCTCACGGTGCCCAGTGTGCGTCGCAATCCCTGAACCGCCGCCCCAACTAAAGCGCTACAGCGGGCCAAACCCCTAAACCCTTAAACCGACTCTGCAAACCCGGTACAGTATGAAGATCTGGAAGATATGAAAATGTGCGCCACAAATGGCCCCAAGACCCTCAGATAGGGCTCATGTACCTTAACCGCTATGGAACCCGAAACCCTCGAACCCCTACAGCAACATACCAGCCGCCCTACAGGCCGCTCTATCTGGGCCCAAGCTTCCAGTTGAGGCCCAGCGGCGCGGAGCGGAGCGTCTCCTGCAGACCTAAATCTCGGAGAACGCTCTCCACGGCGTCGCAAGCATCGCCTGGTTTGGGTTTTGGCATTGAAGGTTTTGGGGTTTAGAGTCTAGGGTTTAGGGTTTAAGGGGTTTAGGATTTAGGGTTTGGGTTTAGGGTTTAGGATTGAGGGTTTAAGCGTGCAAGAAGAGCATGCGCAGTAAGATACATGCCAAGAGGATGCCTCCCTAGAACAAGCCACGGGCAGCAGGCGGAATACCACGGATAGCATATCAAATTCTATAATGCTGCACAATACTACATTGTACTCTACGCTACTACTAATGTTATCTTACACATTCTTACACGATACGAGACTACAAAATACTTACGCTATGTAAGACTACAGAATACTATATTCTACCACAAGAAACTCTGCTATACGATACTATCATAACGAGCAATACTACACAATACTATATAACAGTGCTAGACGATAATATACCACAAGAACTACATACTACTACTACTACTACTACTACTACTACTACTACTACTACTACTACTACTACTACTACTACTACTACTACTACTACTACTACTACTACTACTACTACTACTACTACTACTACTACTACTACTACTGCTACTACTGCTACTACTGCTACTACTGCTACTACTGCTACTACTGCTACTACTGCTAGCACTGCTAGTACTGCTACTACTACTACTACTACTACTACTACTACTACTACTACTTCTTCTTCTTCTGTCGCCCCTTGTGCTTGGTGTGGACGTGCCGAGCAGCTGCACGCTTTCAGGCGCGCGTCGGCCGCACGTCCTCCGAGACTACGCAGGTTTCGGGTTTTAGGGTGTTTTGGGCTTTAGGAAACTTTAGGGTCTAGGCTCTTAGGGGTTCAGGGCTTTAGGGTTTTAGGGTTTTGAGGTTTTGGGCTTTATTTAGGAAGCCAGGGTCTAGGGCTTTAGGGTTCTAGGGCTTTGGGTTTTGGGTTTTGGGTTTTGGGCTTTGGGGTCTAAGGTTCTGGGCTTCGGGTCGAACTATCAGGGGATAAGCGCCTGGGCCGGCTGCTCCCGATCTGAAACCCAAAAACCGTCGGAGACCACGAAACACCGTAACATCGCCTCCCTCCTTCCCGGACAGGCGAATGATCTTACAGTACGTTATCCTAGAAATAAGAACAGCAGATTTAATGATGAGGATAGTCGTGCTAACCGTGATAACGATGACAATAAGGATAATACCAATGAAGACTGAGGTTGCTACGACGATGCGGACGACGACGATGATGCCGCCAGTAAGATGACAATAAGACTACTTATCAATGTACATACATATATGTGTGCGTGTGCCTCGGTGGCCATTTGTCGCTACTGCTTTCTTATCCCTGATCTTTATCCTTCTTGCCGTTGCCGTCGTCGCTTTCAACAACAGCGATGATCGCTCTTCCTACGCAGACCCCAAGCCCCAAACCCAATAATCCCTCTCAAACCTGCATGACCTTTGCAAGACCCCTAAACCCTAAACCCTAAACTTCCCTAAACTCTAAACCCTAAACCGTAAACCCCTACAGACTCCCGCAGCATCCCCGGTCCGGCGGAGAGCGGAAGCGATTCGAGCACGGCCCGCAATCGCGAGATGCGGGCGCAGTCACCACCGAAAAGGCTTTCCTAGACGAAGCTCAGGAGTAAGGGCATAGCGGTGTTCAGGTGTTTTGGCGTTTAAGGTTAGAAGTGTTTTGGAGTAAGGGGGGTTGAGATTTGAAACAGAAACTGCGGGTTAGCCCGTCCCAACCGCTTGGAGATCTGTCAACACACCGGGTTGACCCTCAACAATGCAAAGGGTCACTGGGTAGAGTAAGAGTTTCATGTGTTGCAAGACAAGCCCCGCATGGAAGTCTTAACAGAAAAACCTACTCCTGCAGGGTTTAGGGTTCCCTAAATAACCCTAAACCGTGGCATTAACAGCAAACCAGCTTGTCACAGTCCAAAGCCTCAACAATCTCCATCCTTCAAACGGGGGCTGGGCTGACTTCCTTGTGCATTGCTATATGGAAAAAATTTACACAGCTATGTGGAAAAATACACAGGCAGATAAATATGTGAGAGGCAGATGGATAGATCGATAGACAGATAGATAGACAGACAGATAAGATACATAAGATGGAAAAGATAGATAGACAGAAAGGTAGATACACACGTACAGACAGACAGACGGACAGGCAGACATTCGTACATTCATACATTACATACATACACTCTTGCATACATACACACGTATAGAGATACACAAGTGATTAGGTATATGTTTGCTTATCTACATATATGTACACATGCATGTTTCTCCGTATTTGGTTGCATGTCAGCATGTATGCATGTGCGTAGATGTGTGTTTATATGTAGACTTGCGTGTGTGTGTGTGTGTATATTTTATATATATATATATGTGTATGTGTATGTGTATGTAGGGTATGTACATGCTCCTTCCCTGAGGAGCATGGAGCTGGCTGGGCAACCCATGTCCTAAGCGCCCTAGGCGTATATCCCATCATCTAGACCTTTTCTTCAAGGCTCTGACCTTTGCATTGTGTTCTACGTGAAGCTTCGCACGGCAAAATCAAGCCCTGCATTCCCCATGTATTCCCCAAGGGCGGCGCGAGGCGCTGACGGCCGGCGCTGCCGCGCAAAGACCTACTGAGGGGTCCCCAAGCGAGCTCAAACTGTGTTACGATGACTTAGACAATTCCGATCCCTGAACTACACCTCATAAACACTGAACCCTAAACCCTAAAGCCCTAAAACCTAAACTCTACGAAGCTCCGCCCTTCAGCCTTCGCCCATGAATGCTCAAAACCGCCTCGAAACCTTTAAGACCCCCTCGGCCCAAACCCCCACTTAGAGGATCATGGCACTTAGTAAGTAGGTCATAATTGGGGTTCTAAGTCCCCTAAGGGGGGTTATCCTAATTATAACTTATTTATAACCTTACTTACTAAGTCCCATGATCCTCCAAGCAACCCTGAGACACACTAAGACCCTCAGAGTGCCCTTACAGAACCCTGTGAGAGCTGCCCTTCTAGAACCCTTTATGCATGCCCTCAGAGAACCCTTTACCCAAACCCTGATACTAACCCTTAAAAGAGCCCCTGCAAAAGCCGTACTTAAGCGGAACCCGAAATGCAACCCTGTTCTGATTCTCAAACCCAGAGGGTCCATATATACCACTATTACGGAATAAGGTCCCAAAAGACCATTCCTATTATGGCTTTGGGGGCCTAATTCCGTAATGGTAGTGCATATGGACCCTCTAGGAAAGCAGGCCTCAGCAGGAAGTCCCGGCCGGCCCCAAGCAGCGTCAGCGCATGGAGCTCGGCGCGCCGCAGGAGCACCGCGTGGCTCTGAGACAAAGCCACCTCTCGGCTGCTTTTCGGAGCTTTGGGACGTAGTGGTTCGGGAGTCGTACTTGTAGTTTAGGGTTTAGGGTTGAGGCTTAGGGTTTAATTAGGGGGGGAGGAAGAGCCACAGCAGCAGGGCAACCGTCTCCAATATTGTCAGAGTCATCATTGTCATGTTATTTAAGCCCCGGTGGTACCCTGCACAAGAGATGCTGTGTGGCGACGAGGGCCTCACTTCTGTTTCTGCTTGCAACAGGCTTTGGATCTGAGAGAAGGTTGGTTTAGGCTTTGGATGCGGTGTATCTTAGCGATTAGGACTAGGAATCAGGGGAGTGTCAGGTTTGACGGGACTTCCCCGGTAAAACTTCCAACGGTCCTTCCATCAGGCTCTTGCCCCTGCGTTTCCCCGTGCAACTCCCAATCGTAGTAAGAAGAAACCCGAACCCGAAGCCCCAAAACGACCTCAAAACAACCTCCTAAGCGAGAAACTAAACTCCTCAAACCCAACCAAGTCCTATAAGCCCCATAAACCCTATAAGCCCTATAAACCCTATAAAACCTTTAAAAAACCTGCAACCCTGAACACCAAACCTGAAACCCCCCCCAAACCGGCCTGCACCAGCGACTCCTCCAGGTGCGCCAGGAGCTCGTCCATCACTGCCCCAGGCGCCTCCCCGGGCTCCTCCTGCGGAAGCGGTGCTCAGAAGTTCTAGTTTGGGCCGTACTATGTTTAGTAACTAGGGTTCCTTAAAGGGCTCTTTTAACTGCACAAATTATAATAAATACAATTCGAAATTAGGCCGGTGACGTCTCGGATAATTTCCGTTGCGGTCGCTATTTAATTTCACACCCGAAATTAGCGGGCTGAGGGCTGTGTGGCCAAGAGTAGTAGCAGAAGTGGTAAGGCGTCGTGGTAAAGGAAGTAAACGT